CCCTGGCAGATACAAGGGGCAGACGCATCCACAGGCTGGACTTGCCTCCGGCGGCCGGCTGCAGCGCACCGCACTGCACATCGGAGACGCCGCAGTGTCCAGCCTCCGCTACCCACCCCTTTATCTCCTCGACGTCCAGGGAGTCGTCGAGGCCGCGTAGGCGGACCTCGGCCATTCTCCGCGGCCGGTCCACCCGCGTCCCGTCCTCCCCCTGGAGGACTCGCTTGACCTGCTCCGCGAGAAAGTCAGCCTTGTTGGCGTGACCCTCTCCGGAGACCTCGATGACCTTGGCGCCGGTGGCCCCTGATCTGATGTTAACCAGGCCCCCGATGCCAAGGTCTTCCAAATTAACCTCCCGTCGCAGTCTGGCCAGGGCCTCACGATAGTCCCCATTGGGACGCGTGAGGACGACGGCCGACGTGCGCGGGAGTCTCCTCTTCGGAGTCTTCTTGGGCAAGCCGCCGCCCCGCCCCTTTAATGGGGTAACGGGGGCGGCCGCCCTAGGGACTCCTTTTGCGGACTTCCCCTCCGCGACCCTGCTCTTCCTCCCAACCACCTTTGCGTATGTCTCCACACGCGCAGCGGGCTGGGGGGAGGGCTTGGTCTCTCTCCTACGAGAGGAACCCGTCTCCTCGGGCTCCTGCGTTTGCTGCGAAGGGGGGGCCTTCTTCTTTTCCTTCTTCTTTTTGGCCCCCCCCCCGCAGCATTCGCGATCTTCTCTGGGAGGTTTGCTTCCCTTGATCCACCCCCTTGGCCGGCCCCGGGAACCGGGCGGTCCCTCACGGCGCCCCCTCCCCCCTTTCGAGGGTCGGAGGGGACCGCTGCAGGGCCGCTATTACGGACCCCGCCGCCGGCCAGGGCCTGGAGCAGATCCTCCAACTTTTGAAGCCGCCGATCGATCTCCCTGTGAGATCGATCGACGGCCTCCCTTATCTTTCTCTCCACCATCTCCCCCATGGTCTCCGCCTTCCTTGGCGGGGACTTCCCCGCTTTCTGCGGGGCGTGGGGGGACGGTAGAGAGGAGTTTTTCGCGGGGGCCGAGGGTTTGGTCCTCTTCCTCGAGACGGACCTCTCCTTCCTCCTCGCCCGCGTTTTCTCCACTCCCGACGTCGAGGCCCGGGACGTGTCCGCGTTGTTCGGCGTGACCACGTCCCAGGTCCTCTTCTCCGCGGGTGCCGCGACCGCTATCTCCCCGGGAGGAGGAGACTCCATCGGCAATTCAGCGGCGATTGCCTCCGGCATCTCCTCCTCCCGTACGATCTCCTCCGTGGGGGTGCTGTCCCGCATCGTCCGTGGCAGGCCGGGGGGTGGCATCGTCGCGCGATCCCGCTCCTCCTTCTCCCGCTGGAGGTCCGCGACCTGAGCTCTGAGGACCACGAGCTCTTCTCTCATGCGCTCCTCTCTCTCGCTCGCCACCCCTGCGACCCTCATGGACAGAGCGTCCACCGCGACCCTGGTGTACAGGGCTCCATCTCTTATCAGGCCGGCGATGGTCCTCTTGAGGTTTTTGCTCTTTTTCGCCGCCTGGTCGATCTTGCTGCTGAAGTCCATGACTTTCGCAACAAGATCGCAGGTTGGGAGCTGGGGGATCTGCTCCTCCAGCTCCCTCATCCTCTTCTTCCTCTCCGCGCCCTCGTATTGCAGGGGGTCATAATCCCCCTGCATGATAACCTCCATGTCCCGCATCTCGCCCTTCATCTTGTTAAGGGCTTTATTGGCCATTTTGCGGGCGGCCATCTCGACGCCCTTACCCGTTGTTACGGGCCTGCCCCTGCCGTCCTTCTTCTCTCGGAGCAGGTTTTCCTCCTCCTCGCTGGAGCTGTCTAGGGGCCGCTTCTGTTTTGCGTCTCTCCCCTTTTTCCGGACGCTCTTCCTCCTCTTGGTATCTTCAGAATCTCCTAAGGACACGTTAATTCTCTCATTAACTATACCACAGAATGTCCCGGGATTAAAACAGGACATCCTATGGCTATCCCAAAAATGTCCTTATAATGTTCTGAAGTACGTCCTGTGGACTTTCTAAAAAACTTTCGGAGGATGTCTTCGGGACCTCGTGAGGATGTAATAAGGCGCGCATCGGGTGTTCCACAGAATGTCCTCAGGATGTCCCGGGACTAAAATGGGACGTCCCCACAACGTCCTTACGTCCCGTCCTGGATATTCTGAGGACGTCTTGAGGACGTCCTTGTGCTATTTGGGTTAGTTTACATCGTGCACTTGTTACGCGTATCAAATAGTAACAAAGAGTAAAGAACTAGTAAATTGGTTTAGTCATTGGCTGATCAACTCAAATACACTATTTGATACGCGTATCAAATGCACGATGTAAACTAGACCTATGATAGCCAACTCTTAAGATGAAAAATATCACTATGAAATACTTCATGTAAATGTTCTTTACAAACATGAGGTGCGTTCCGTTTTATGCA